AGATAAATCAAGTAAATAGAGAAGCTCAGGAGCACGCACAGAGGACGTCGTTTGCTGAAGCGTAGTTTAGGAGCGCAATAGTTAACAATATATCAAATGTCGAGGAACATAATCCAATAACCGCAATGACACATGACAAGGACATAACGAGTAGAGAACACGAAGTCAGGGTAGTAAGAAGAGCAATCAGGAGCGTTCGATGGAGTACGCGACGATGTACCGAGGCTAGGCTGACCCCATGTCGGAGCAGGAGCAACCGACGAGAAGGGTTGAAGTGATGTTCCGACAAGCGGGGTATACCTCAACGAGTTATTTATTCGAAGGAGAGTAAGACATCAGTTAGTGATTGATGAGTCTCGACTCACTATACAACTAGGGTCGGTGAGTGAAATAAAGTAATCAAGAATGATTCCACTGGTTCCTGGAGTATCATCGTCGAGAGGGTTTTAGGGTTTATGGACTCTAGTAAGGAAATATATATTTTTATATTCAATTCTTTCCGAGTTCGTTCGCACACATTTCAAGATCTCCGTTGAAACATACTTCCTCCACCATGTCCAACCCAACCCCCGCCAAAGTCGTAGACAGCAACACCTGAACCCTATACGTCGCAAAGAAGATGATATTGACCGACGTGGGACTAAGCGTCGCCAATCTAATCTGGACCGCACTAGTCCACACACAGGGCAGGTTCTGGAGGGGCAACAACAGGCGCGTCTAGAGGCTCATCACCCAGTGTCCGCTACAGATAAGCAGTCACCAACGGCACATGAAGATAAACCTGCCCACTCAGGAGATGACGTCGTCTTCGAGGGTGAGACCAAGAGAGTTCCCGACCTGCGTGCGGACCGGAGTCAGACTATTCCTGGTGAATATGTAGCTAGTAATGGTCTGTCCTCCCGTTCGTCTTCAGGTACTTCAGAGGCCTTTTCCTCCAGTAATGACCAACCACGCCTTCCACCTAACAAGCATAGACGCCTCCGCCGTGAAACTCACTGAGCTAATGGCGCAACAGCAGTCACTTTTAGAGAGGTATGAACAAAGGTTGCAGCGCACAACTACCGATCGGCTTACAACATTGTTGGCTGCCACTGAGACATCTACTGGCACACACAAACGTGTGCACACATCGCCAGGAAATGAGGACAACCCTACGTTCCGTATCCACGGCCGTACACGTCCGCACCTGCACTCGGGTATGAATCACCAGGGTCGGAGGGCCAACCGACCGAGAAGGAGAAAACTCTGTCTTCTCTTGAGGAGACCCCATCATTCCAAGAGTTCGCACGTGAAGAAGTGTTCACGGGAGTGAGGCGCTGAAGAACATGCAGGACCGGTTGAGTACGAACTTTTGCCAACAACAGCAACGACAGTCGTTCGAGAAGGAAGCAGCCAGTGAATATGTACAGACACCCATGCGGCAAGGGAACGAGACCCTGATACCTCCTCCGCCCACACCGGCCAGTATTGAGAAAAGCCGACAACCGATGCATGCACGTATACTACACCTGAGAGACGAGTTATGCCAAGCAATAGAGGATAATAATACGGCTCGAGCTGAAGCTCTTCAGGGAACGATCGAAACGCTCCGGGCCACGCTAGAGTCCCGCCCGGTGGAAAAGCGGCCCATCCCGTCACCACGTACATGGCCTGATTGGCCTTCAAATAGATACCACCTACATCATGGAACGGGATACGAGAGGGGCTCTCCTTTAGGCGTTTAAGAATGTACAAATCGCAGGATTAGATGAGAGTTGGAGCCTTACATGGTTCCATAAAGTATTATCTTATTTCCAGGCTGAGAAATCAACATTGGAATACATACGCGATACCTCTAAGCGATTGAAGATGTGGACTCCACAACTACAAATCGAACATATCTGCTCGCATGAGACGCAAGTCACTGTCGATCCCGCGTTTTGTAAGCTAGCCAAGGGCCCACAGTCGGAATATGCATACCCCTATCATGGAACAAATGACACGGCTCATGGAGAACCATAGGAGGGCGGACGGTGCCAAACAGATGCAAAATTTCAACAGAACTTACTAAATCATCGTGTTGTACAATTGTTAGAGGAAGCACTTATTGGTAGAACGTATGAACGTACTCTGCAAATACATCCGAAATGGCAACTGATGAAGACGCACCAGCTTCTGTAGCTGTTGAGCCCCGACATTCAGGACGCACAGCAGCGCACCACGGCGCGTCTCCAGAACCGGAATAATCGGGAGGGTCTACCGAGTAACGGAACTCAACCCGCAGACAGTTCGACGACAGTCGCAGAACTAGACACAGCGACCCCAACCGTCACCACCTACCACCTGTGCTGGATGTCAGGCACAAGCACTACCAGGTTCACGTCATATTCCGAGATGTCATCATTTCCGTGCGTCGCCACCAGGGGAGGGGGTATGGATGGTCGGGCGCGCCTGTACGACAAACAACCGTACATCACGAGACGCACAACCGGCACACAGACCGACCGCAGCTCCAACCTCAAGACAGGGACAGAACAATACCCCGAGTAGCGATTTGGTAACTATGCGACCGATTCCTCAAGTACAGGTGAATGCGATTACACGGGACGACGCCTTTGTACCACCATCAGAGGCTACAGAGGTACATATCAACATGATACTTACGGAAGACTTCAAGCACAGTACCCATTCAGTATGGAATCAGGATCATCGACGGGTCTCTTGAGTTGATGAATTTACCTGCGGAACACGACGGAACCCGCCGATGCACGCCAACAGCTGGCACAAAATTTAGAGGCGAACGCGATGATTGCCGACAACGCGCGATGTTGTCTGGAAGGGAGTGAAGTTACCATTCCGGTAACCCGTGAACAGGCGATGCACATGCGCAGATTGACACGTAACTTTGTACGACCAAGTGAAGAAGTGGCTGGCGGATTTGGTGATAACGTAATGGACGACACCAACAACCGTTAACCTCCCTTCCCTCTCCTTGCGGTCCCGACATTCGATTCGGAAGGAAACGTGAAGAAGGTGAGGGTAAGACATGCGCGCCGCTAACGCGCTTCTCCCTGGTGACCAGTTTTTGATTCCAATGGTCAACAAACTTATCTCTCGCCCCAAGAGTAAGAAGTACTACTCCACGCTGGACATCTCTGCGACATGCCACAGGCTGTCGATCCATCCAGATTCACAATGCTTGTTGACTTTCACACACGACCGTTATCAGTACTCCTCTACATCGGCACCGTTCGGACTCCATGTGCTCACGCAACAGTTCCAGCGTACCTTGAGCACGGTAATTCACGGCTTACCGGTCCACCACTATATCGACGACATAGTTATCGCTAGCGACGATTATGACGAACATATTAAGACGGTGCAGAAGTGATCCAACGCTTGACATACCACAGTTTTTAAGCTTAACCCTGCCAAATGCCACTTTGCTATTCCCGAAGTGATGATCCTAGGGAAGAAGGTGTCTGCACAAGGCATAGACATTCATCATGAAGCAGGCAAAGCTCATCGACTGGCCTACCCCACTACGGTACAAGGACATAGCCTCCGCTTTAGGAATAGCGAATTACCTTCATGAGCATCTCCCCAACTTCGCGAACACGGTCGCCCCCTTGCGCGAATATTGCAAACTCAAACCGAATAAGTTGATCGGCGATCGTTAGGAGGAGAGAGACATGCACAGGCGTGGCAGGCGATGAAAGATGCAGTTATTAATGCAGTAGCGTTGCAATTCCCGGTCGACGGTATACTATCGAACTTGGAAAACCGACGCTAGTGATTACGATTTGGGGGGAGCGTTATTCCAAATGGGTCAACGGGAAGAGACACTATTTAGGTGTACTTTAGCAAGACTCTGAACCATGCGCAACAGAACTACGCTACACCAATGAAGGAGTTTCTAGCTTTGGTGTATGGGCTTACACATTTCAGGGAGCATTTGGATGGGCAACGGTTTGCAGTCTTCATGGACCACAAGGCCCGGGCTTGTGTACATGAATACACAGCTCAGGCTAAATCCGATGCTCCAGAGTTGGCACCACATTATCGTACCGTTCAACTTTACCATATCACATATACCAGGAGAGACGAACGTGCTTCCGGACATGTTGAGCAGAGTACACGAGGGGACAGCGGAGCAAGACGAATCTGAAATACTGTACACAGATTGTTGACAGTTATTCCCTAGTTACTTTAAACAAGCACAACAACACTTCGGTCCGAATAGTATAGATATATTTGCGGACCCAACTAATGCTCAGCTCCCTCGATTTTGGACTTAAGACGATGGGGAAGGTGCGTTTGCCCACGACTGATCGACGGTCGACGGATGGATGAACCCACCGTGAGAGAAGATACACAGAATGTTGCGCAAGATCAGAGCTGATGGGCAAGGGTAACTGTATGTCTACCGTGGGTACCAAGAGCACCATGGTTTGACTTGTTCAAGCAGTTGTTACAGTCAGAACCAGTGCTGGTTCCACGGATGTCGCATACGTTCCTCAAGTATGCTAAGTACACATGTGGCAAGATACCATGAAGGCACACAGTGATTGCACGGATGTGGCCTCCTAACGGGTTCAAACTGGACCCGTTGTTTTCACAGCGACTTGGGTATGCAGAATCGAAACACACGACGGCGTACGTGATGTGTTTAGATATGACACGAGAGATCTCGGTGGTGATGGCAGACGTAGAGGGTCAACCGGCGTTTGAGCGAGCGACACCAGAAGAACAACAGCACCGTACGTGACTAACGCAAGCTCACCACGAACAAGAAAATCATGGAGCGGTCGACACAGTTCAACAACTCCGACATAATGGCCATGTGTGGTCGGGCGCACTCGAATTGGCAACGGAAGTCAAACGACAGTGCGCTACATGTTTGGGTCAGGATACTCTACGTAAAGGCTTTCACCCGATGATCAGCATCGACGCGCGCTACCCGTGGACCATATTCAAAATGATTACATCCCGATGCTACTTGAGTCCAGGAGGAAGAACAATTATATACTTCATCTCCTGGATATCGTTACAGGCTACTCAGTCCTTCGGGCGACACCGGACAAACCGAAGGAGACGACGGCGCAGACACTAATATAAGTTTTTGGCGAGCATGGCTTCCCGCGTATGATCCAGTCGGACATGGGGATTGGATTCACCAACAAGATAGTGGAACTCCTGGTCCAAGAAGTGGAGATGCTACACAAGGTGTCACCGCCATACCGACCCCCAAGTACTGGGTGCTGCTGAACGAGTCATAAGGGGATTGCACGATCTCTTAGACAATGCTGTGAAGCAGTTTCTCTACGATGGGACGAACGTCTTCCGTTTACGATGCTTTATCAGAATCTTCCGATACCTCGACGTCATAAGAGCGCACCGTTCAGTGTATATTTTGGCCCTTTACGTTCCATTTGCCGATTTTACTGATAAGTTACCGGACACCCAGCCGATGACGAACGACACCTGGGCTCAACGGTTAGACCAGGTGCAGGACACCATCCTGCCGACACTCCACCACATTACCAAGAAGTGTACGGGCAAACTACCGAAAACGTTTGACCGCCTGTACGCTCATGATTTGGTGCATTTCGACGAAGGTGACGTGATAATGGTACGGTCGGAGGGCAGAACGACTAAAGCTATTTGGGCCATATGTGGTCAAGGCTAGGGTCGGACAACGCTATGAGTTGGCTAATAAAGACGGCTCCGCCCCTCCAGAATTCAACGGCAAACCGGTACGTGTAGAACTCCTCCGGTTGGTACATCGGCGCACAGACCCACCACTTAACGATGAATTGTGGACAGAAGGAGGAGTGTCGCCACATTATTATACACCGTACTAATGATGATACAGAGAAGTTGGAATACTTGGTGAGATGGCGCGAAAGCAACCCGACGTGGGAAACAGCGGAGGCTTTTGATGATGCCAACGATATCGCGGCCTACCACAAGGTCACGCAGACACTGAGAGACTACAGGTCCCAGATCAGGTTTTACAGCAGCACAGACATCGTCCGGTAGTGAACGCTTGTACCGTTGCGGTAGGGGTTGTTTTCAGTAGGATTCTGGGTAGATAGCGGTGTTTCACGTGTGTCGATAGGGAGGGACAATATACTGTTCCTCAACACAACCAGGTGCACTACGAAAAAAAAGGCGAGTTCCGTTGTCGCGATGATGAGTGCTTTATTGGCTGTTCAGGTATATATCGACCAATAGTGTGATTATTAAATATTTATAACATACGATACATCTGTTTTCAAAATATTGTATGTATTTAGACACTTTCAACGCTAATTGATTCGGTTAAACAGTACAGTTTTGTATTATTTATTTATAGCATCTGCCGTTTTCCAATTCTCTTAGCCAATAGAATGACAGTACTTTTCCAAAGAAAGTGTGAGCGGGGGCCGACGTCTCGCCAAAATATCTGGGAACGACAACACACTTGTACATATTTGATCCATATTTTAGTACATTTTTGTCGAGAAAAGGGGTGAATGTACATTTAGTGACTTTTCCATATTTTCAATGTACATTTTAGTGACTTTGTTCAAAAATAGAAAAACCACTTTTTTTTGCGTCAAACCCAGGTGTCATCAAAAAATTTACAGCACTGGAAAGTCATTAAATAAATATACAAAACAAAGTCTCTAAATGTTCATTTAAAAAAAAATTGTTTGAAAAGTTTGATAAAGGAATTAAATATCACATTTAGCGAATTTAATTGGGCAACTAGAAAACGTACCAGTAGATCTGTATGTACATTTAGTGACTTTCCCATGTAGGTCATGTACATTTAGAGCATCACCTCGAAAATCGAGTACAGAAACGACGTGAAGAATTTCAAATTTGATACTCAAATACAACTAGCTTGCGACTTATTACCGATTGCTACGCTATTTTCTTCCTCTTCAAAATCCCTACTACGCTTGACAGATTTGCGGTCACCAACACGCGCAAGATATATATA